CTCCCTCTCTCCCTCTCTCCCTCTCTCCCTCTCTCCCTCTCATTCACGAAAATACCAGAAAAGGATATTTTCAGATTCTGGTTGAAAGATTACTCTTAAAATTTACTCTGAAGTTTGTATGGTAGTCATCCTCGTACTGTAGTTTAGAATAAGAAAGATTGTTCCATTCTACTAAATAAAAACATGTACTTCTACAAACCAAGCCAAGAGTGGATACACTGCTGTTGTCCTAGTTGGAATTTCAAGAAGTGCTTTTTACTTCAGTCCCATCGATACTGTTCTCTCTGAAGATCAGAGTGCCAGAGTTGCTTGAATTCTGGGGCAAAGTTCCAAAATCCCTTGACGGATGGAGGCCAGTGTGTGCCAGACATTGGTCTCATTTCTGATAACTTGCTAACTGCCAAGGCTAGAAACGCCTACTTTTAACCAAAGGATTTCTTGGCACTGCTACAAAATATATTATGGCATTATAGAATCTTCTAGACCTAAATCCAGTATAATTGTCTGGACTTAAACTATGAGGAAAAGTGGTTTGGTTTTGTTTGGTACCAGGGATCAAACTCAGGACCTTGCGCTTGCGAGGCAGGCAGCAGCACCACTGAGTTAAGTCCCTGGTCCCTGGAAAAGTGGTTTTGAATGATTCCGTCCATAGACAAATCCGAAACTTTTGTCCAGTGTTTAGAATACAGTGAAATTCCAGCTGGGCATGGTGGCAGATGACTGTAATCCCAGCATTTAGGAGGCTGAGGCAGGAAGATTGCTGTGAGTTCAAGGCCAGCCTTGACAACAGAGTGAAACCCCCTCAAAAAAACAAGAAAAAAAGTGAAATTTTCTAGTTTCTAACTAGGTTCAGATCATGATTTTTTTTTTCAAGTTAGGTCTATCAGATTATCATGACGTTTGAATACCTGTACGTGATTCTCCTTCCATGTTATTTAAAAAATAACTAAAAATTTGGATTAAAAAAAAAAAACCTGGATTTTTATGCTAATGTAAGTGGCTGGATAACTTTAAGACAGTCTTGATGATTTTACCTAAAAGGTGCTACTGATTGCAGAACATTCTTATTCCCTCCATTGTGGGCCTTTTTGTTTGGCTATAGTGTGCTATAGCCTCAGAGCAATTCTTGCCCCCTAAATGAGTAGGGACTAGGAAATGTAGAATTTGTCACTGAAATCTCTCACTTTAAGCAATGAAATAGAAGGGCATGGAAATGTGACTGCCTCTGGTCATATAGTGCCTGTCTTTCTGAATGATCACACTGATTGCTTGATTGGTTCTTAGGGAGCTCCAGATCTAACAGGTGCACCTGGAACTCTGAGAACATTCTTCTGTGAGTGGCCAGCCGCAGAGGGATGTCACTGCACTTAACTGACCACTGGCTCCTCGTGCTCAGGCCATGTGGCTTGGGACAGATCCATGTGAGCCTACGGGGCTGAGCTTCCTTCCTAGCCTGACTTTTGCTCACTGGAGGACCATTTTTGCAGAAATAATTCCGTGTAGACCAACACCTGGATTAGAGTTGAAGAGGGAAGAGGAAGAATGAACGTAAAATAATGTTTAAATCATGGTGACTGTTCAATAGAGGTTTTTCTTTGTGACCTGAATATTTCCTACAAAATTCCCCTTTTAGAAGGACACAGGACTTTTGCCTGGAAAAACATTTGCTATACTCCTGCAGTCATGGCTGGAAAGATAGCTGCTAATCCAGCAGAACTGCCTCAGAATGGATGGGTTATCATTTTCTATTAGTGGGTCAAGTCAGTTTTCACCCTGGGACGGGAGATTGCTGCAGACAGCTACATAGGCATGTATTTCACAGACAAAGAGTACTTTCCACCAGTCCTGGTCCAGTACACGTGAAGGGCAGGGGATGGCCTGCATCTCAAGACTTCTGGCTCTTAAGCTGGGCATGGTAGTGCATGCCTGTAATCCCAGCACATGGGAGGCTGAAGCAGGATGATCACTGAGCATTCGAGGCCAGCAATCAAAGATTCTGCTTTTTTTTTTTTTTTTTTGGTACCGGGAATCAAACTCAACCTTGCACTTGCAAGGTAGGCATGGTGCCACTGAGCTAAATCCTTGGCCCTTATTTTTTTTTAAGCTTTATGTAGTATAATTTATTTACTACAAAATTCACTTATTTTAAGTAACGTTCATCACCATTTGGTGTCATTCATCTTTCTCCCTTCCAGTCCCAGGCGACCACTGATACATATTTTTCTATATAGATTTGTATTTTGTGGATGTTTCTTACAAATGGAATCATATACTATGTGGCAGGGGCACTGGGGATGGGGCCCAGGGCCTCTCACAGGCTAGGCGAGCACTCCACTGCTGAGCTATATCCGCCGTGCACTATGTGGTCTTTTGTGACGAGCTTCTTTACTGAGCATAGTAAGATTTCTTCGCGTTGTAGTGTGTATCAGAACTTTATTCCTTTTTATGGCCAAATAACATTTCATTGTAAGGATAGTAGGATTTCTTCGCGTTGTAATGTGTATCAGAACTTTATTCCTTTTTTTGGCCAAATAACATTTCACTGTAAGGATATCCAGCGTTTAGTTTGTCTTTTCACCGATTCATAGACATTTGG